AAAAAAAAAAAAAAAAAAAAAAAAAGTTACACAAATTGATAAGGAATTGATAGGAAATAAGTAGATGAGCAAAAAACATTTAGAGATAATTTACTAATGAAGAAAATACATCTATTGAAAAAACTTGAAAACATGCTCAAACCCAGTAGTAACAGAAAATTGCTATATTATACCATAAATGTTATATCACAGGAAGATAACATTTTTGTCATTCAAATTATCTTCAAATTCAAATTAGGTTTAAAAACCCTAAGCCCAGCACCCGCAGGAGCTGGTGAGAGGCGTCCGGTCCGTGTGCGTGACAGCGGCAGTGTCCGCCTCACAGCTCTTACTCAGAGCAGTGTGTTTCTCAGCGCCTTTAAAGTCCACGTGTGCAGACGTATTTACCCTCTAAATCTCACCTTCGTCCTTCTACTTAAGTTCTACAGATACTTTACCCAGTTCTGTGGAGCTTAAAATGAATGGGATCTTTGGTGAGTTTTTTTTTTATTTTCTGTTTTTAGAAGAGTTACTTTTGGCCTCTAAACATGGAGAGCACAAATCTTATCTGAGTTTTATTCTCGATTCTCTGCTAAAGGTTCTGTAATTAATTTGCACAAAAATACTGTGACGTAGAGCATTAATCATTTTTTTTTATTGAGATAGTCTCACTATGTTGCCCTCAGTAGAATGCTGTGGCATCACGGCTCACAGCAACCTCAAACTCTTGGGCTTAAGTGATTCTCTTGTCTCAGCTGCCTGCCACAACGCCCGGCTATTTTTTATTGTTGCTGTTTGTTTGTTTGTTTGTTTAGCAGGCCTGGGCTAGGTTTGAACCCACCAGCCCAGTGCATGTGGCCAGTACCCTAACCACTGAGCTACAGGCGCCAAGTGCATTAATCATTTTTTACAGATAAACAGAAGATTAAAACTATATTTTATATATATATATTTTTATAAAGGTACTTGCTATATGAAATATGTTATAAAATGTCTAAATGCTGGTTAGTCTTATAGTTTATTATCATACCATACTCTTAGGGGAAATCAACCTAAGAAACTCTCGTTTTTAAAGATGAAACTGATCACTCTGCCTTTGAATTAAGTAATTTACAAAAGAAATGTGGTGCAGACTTGAGATCCCCCTGGTGTTGTGGTTACTGTTGCTGACTTTGGGCAATCTGGACCTGAACCTGTTGGTTTTGTGCAGCTTTCCAGTTCTCAGGCCACAATAGACTCCAGTCTCCAGGACATCAACACCAGGTTATCCCCAGGTGGGCTGCTGGCGGACACATGGGCACACCAGGAAGGCACTCACCCCAGAGACCGGAGGTAGTCACAGCTTCATGGAAGCTTTCTATTCTTGTCATTGGTAATGTGCTTTTTCACATCAATTCAGTTAATTTACTTGGTTTTTCTTCCTTAAACAGTGTAGAAAAACTACAAGTCCTGTTAAATTCCATCACAGAGATTTATTATCAGTTCAAAAAGGACAAAGCAGAACGAAGTAAGTGAAATTTGCTGTTTCTTAACCTAATAAGTCACCCTTAGTGGTGAGTTGTGATTCAGTTGAATTAATTTTTTATGTTTATAAGGGTGACTACTTAAGGTATTTGCTTCTGAGCTGTGATTCTGTCAGGAAAGAGCTTAAACGTACTAAAAATTATTCTTTAAACTGAACTTTAGGGGCAGCACCTGTGGCTCAGTGGGTAGGGCACCGGCCCCATATTCCAAGGATGGCAGGTTCAAACCCAACCTCGGCCAAATTGCAACAACAACAAAAAAAATAATAGCTGGGCATTGTGGCTGGCGCCTGTAGTCCCAGCTGCTCAGGAGGCTGAGGCAAGAGAATCGCCTAAGCCTAGGAGTTGGAGTTTGCTATGAGCTGTGACGCCACAGCATTCTACCGAGGGCAATAAGGTGAGACTTTGTCTCTATAAAAAAACAAAAAACCCTGAACTTTAGAATGTTCTAAATTAAGGTATAACCTCCAAAACCTGATGCCAGGCAGGGAACAGAAAGGAGTGAGCCTGGCAGGTAGGGACAGAGGTAAGCTGGAGAGGAAAGGCCTCCGCTCAGACCCACCTTCTCATTCCTCAAGAGAGGCTAGAAATACAGATTTTGTTAGATGTATCCTTATTTTTAAATGTGGGCAGTTAATTTTTTTTAATGTTAACACTGTACAAATCAAAAGCGTCTGTGGGCCATAAGTAGCCCTTGGACCACAAGTCTGGGACATCCTCCTCAAACTCTTCAAGTTATGCATCATGTTATGATTCTGCATTAACAAAAGTAATATATTTTCTTATTTCTAGGACTAGCTTATAATGAAGAACAAATCCACAAATTTGATAAGTAAGTGTCTAGATGTTTAATAATTGATTATTTTAGTTGCTGTTTTGGTTATCTTAATATGATTCTTTTTTTGTTTGTTTTGTTTTGTTTTGTTTTGAGACAGAGTCTCACTATGTCACCTTCAGTAGAGTGCTATGGCGTTACAGATCACAGCAACCTCAAACTCTTGGGCTTAAGTGATTCTCTTGTGTCATCCTCCCAAGTAGCTGGGACTACAGGTGCCTGCCACAGTGCCTGGCTATTTTTCTGTTGCAGTTGTCATTGTTGGTTAGCTGGCCCGGGCTAGGTTCAAACCCGCCAGCTTCTGTGCATGTGGTTGGCGCCATAGCTACTGTGCTATGGGCGCCGAGCCAGTATGATTCTTCTTGAAGTTGAAATTAATTACAATGAATAGTGCACTTTAATCTTGACTTCATGGGATTGTTACTCTGTGAGCACATTTTTTGAGGTTCACTCATCTGGTCTGATTGTAAGGTTACCAAGACGATAGACAGTCGAGGGAGAAAGGCCCCGCCCTCCCAGCTGCTGCTGCCTGGGCTCCACCTGCGGGTCAGAGACAGGAGACTGGGCTTCACCACCTGCCTCACTGGAACCGCACTTAGCTGTTTTTTTTTTTTAACATTCTCCTTTGAACTTTCTTTTTCTCCTCTTGCTGCTATAATGTCTACCTTAGGAACTTTATAAATTTGTGTTTTCTACTGTAAATATTATAACTATTCTATAAGCTACAATAATCATTATAGGAAACAGATGAACTTCATGTCTTTGAAATTTTTTAAACATTGAAAGTGCAACCAGTATAGTTGGTTTAAGCCTCTTTGAGTAATTATCTCTTAATTACAGGCAGAAACTGTATTACCAGGCCACAAAAGCTATGACACTCTTTACAGACGAATGTATTAAAAAGTACGAGGTGTTTCTGGACAAGTCAGAAGACTGGATGAGGTATGTGAACTTGTTTGAGTGATTCATTGTAAACTGCATGGTGTAACTTGTATTGTGTGTTTTATTTAAGTAGGAATATTTCACTGGGCTGCTCTTTATTGATGACCATTCTTTTTGGTTTTCAGAAAGATGCTTCATCTTAGGAAGCAGTTATTATCTCTGACTAATCAGTGTTTTGATGTTGAAGAAGAAGTGTCAAAGTATCAAGACTACACAAGCGAGGTACAGCTGCCAGAGGATCTGAATATTGTTCCTGCTTTTATCTGATGATGATTTAGGAGAGAGGCCTAGATCATGCCTATCTACGGGTCTGCTCACGCATTCTTTTTTTTTTTTGAGAGTTTCAAGCTGGTGCCATGGCGTCACAGCTCACAGCAACCTCAAACTCTTGGGCTCAAGCAGTTCTCTTGCCTCAGCCTCCCGAGTAGCTGGGACCACAGGCATCCACCACAACACCCGGCTACTTTTTGCTTGTGGTTGTCATTGTTTGGCAGGCCTGGGTTGCATTAGAGGCTGCCGGCTCCGGTGTATGTGGCTGGTGCCCTCGCTGCTGAGCTACAGGCTCCAAGCCTGCTCACTCATTCTTGATATGTATTTTTGAACTAAATTTCAAGAAGTTGGCTATTTTATAACTGAAAACATCTGATAAACCATTCTTATATCATTTGTAAGGAAAGTTTTTTAAAATGATGCTTATTTAAGTGCTGTATCATTTTCAGATAAATAGAAATTTAAAGATATAAAAGACCAGCTCGGCACCCATAGCACAGTGGTTACAGTCTAGGGGGTTCAAAACCAGCCTGGGCCAGCTAAACAACAATGACAGCTACAACAACAACAAAAAAATAGCCAAGTGTTGTGGCAGATGCCTGTAGTCCCAGCTACTTGGGAGGCTGAGGCAAGAGAATCGCTTGAGCCCAAGAGTTAGAGGTTGCTGTGAGCTGTGACACCATGGCTCTCTACCGAGGGTGGCACAGTGAGACTCAGTCTCAATAGATAAATAAATAATACAGGACCTATTAAAGGCTGTAATACTTGATCTGAGATCTGTAGTACTTTTGTTCTGTGATTAATGCAGTTTTTTGATGTTTTAGTTACAAGAAACTTTGCCTCAGAAGATGTTTGCAGCCTCCAGTGGACTCAAACATACCATGGCCCCGATTTACCCGAGTTCTAACACATTAGTGGAGATGACTCTGGGGTAAGAGTCATGCTTATCCTTTGGTAGCTATAATACTTTCATCTGCTTTTATTTCAGTTTATGATCTTGCTCTTATATTTTGAAATTTTGACATTTGTTAATACAGTGTTTGGTAATGTTATTTAATAAGTAGTTACATTTAGAAAGTTAAAACATAATATAATTCTAAAACATTTGAGTACTTTCTGAGCATAAGTAATTGTCTTTGCTTTGTATACAGCATGAAGAAATTAAAGGAGGAGATGCAAGGGGTGGTTAAAGAACTTGCTGAGAACAATCATATTCTAGAAAGGTGAGTGATGTGGAAGTTTTCCTGTGTTGTGACTTTTCATGCAGTTGAGCACACAGACCTTTGTGCTGCCTCTGTCTGCTGTGTCAGTGGACTGAGCAGGAGCCACAGGACATCAGAACCTCAGGTTTTTTCCCTCTCGGTAGGGTTATAAGTTCATAATACCTTTGAAAGGCTGATTCCATGTTATAGAAGCACTGGTTAATAGAATTATTTGCTTATTTGGACCAGTATGTAAAAACCAAAATCTTTTTCATGGTGTTTCTCAAAGCTTTTGTTCATTGGAATCACAATTTTCATTGTGGGGGATCCAAGTTGCTGGTGAGGTAGCAGCACTCTGGTGTCCAACAGCTCAGGGAACCCTCTGCAGGCCCTGCAGGTGAGCGCTCTGGGCAAGCACAGCTCTCCGAGCTCAAGTCCGCTTGTTGTCTACAGAATCCTTAGCTTACTCTACAGATAAAGCCCCCCAAAAGTTGAAAATGTGCAGAGCCAATAAAGTTGATTGTGGACAGCTGTTGTCCTTATCCTGATGCTCAGAGGAGCCAGGCGGCCTGGGTGCTCCTTGCAGGCCCCTTACCTATGCTCAGCCCTGTGCACAGGCAGCCTCTGTGCTCCACAGGTGCCGAGTTCCTACCCCAAGGATGGGAGCAGGGGCTGGAGCCTGGCCTCCATCCATGCCTTCCCGTCTGTACAGCATTCAAGTTCCAATTTTTCACAGTTACAAGCCATTCTTCAGTGAACATGTTTGTGTGTGTCTCTTCATGCACTAGTGTAGAATTTGTGAGGGATCAATTTCTAGGTGTTTCTAGATGCAAAATTTCTGGGTCAGGGGTAAGCACATTTAAATTTTGGTAGGTATACAGTTTTAAAAGGTTGTATATTACAGTCTTAAACAGACAACCCTGTACACGCCTTTAACAACACTGAATGATATCAGTCTTTCAAGTGTTTGCCAATTTGTTTAGTAGGAGCTGAAGTCTTGTTTTAAATTGTGTCTGTGAGGTTAATAGTGATGTCAGACATCTTTTTATGTTTTTTCAATTTTTTTGTCTGAGAATTGCCTGGGTTTTTTTGTTTGTTTGTTTGTTTGTTCATTTGGGGCCTGGGAGTGTATATTTTTTTAATGAAGTCATAACTGTACAGCGATGCCTTCATGAGGTTCAGTGTACTGATTTGATATACAATGTGAAATGCTTACATCGAACTGATTAACACATCCTGCCTGTTTGTTTTTTCATCTATTTTTGCTTGCTTATTTATAGAAACTACATAGTACTTCCCTAACTTTTCATAGTATGCAATTTACAATTTGTTTACAACTTCAGCTATTTCTAAATTTGTTCTGTAAGGCTGAGATCAGCGAATGGAAGAAACGATTAGGATAGGCTTTCCCACACGTCTGTACTGAACTCTTAACACCTGCGGAGTAAACCCCCACTTCCTAAAACACATGCAGGAAGTCAGTTCCTCCTGTGTTTTACAATATTTGCAGGTTTATCTGACAATATGTGAGTGATAGAGCGTAATCTATTGATGGGTGACGAGTGACTTGGTAGGGATTTATGACAGACCAGTGAGGAGAAGCCACTGTACCCTGTGTCCGCGCAGGGACACCCTGCAGTCCCTCAGATGTTTTTGTGTCTAAAGCCATCTGTCCCACCTCAGCCTCCCTTCTAATCTCCTCACCCTGGTGGGTGGGACCAGCTTCCCCTATTAAATGTACTTCACACACTTAGTCCTCTCTACCCTTTCCGCGGGTTCAGAGATCTTCCTCCAAAATGCCCGGTGCCCCTCGTTAGCCTCACCCAGGTCCCCTCTCCCCTTAAATCCCAGTTGCGGGTGAAGTGGGAAAATCGCTTGGGCTCAGGAGTTCAAGACCAGCCTGAGAAGCCAGGCATGGTGGCTCATGCCTCTAATCCCAGCACTTGGAGAGGTGAGAGGATCTCTTGAGCTCAGGAGATCAAGGCCAGCCTGAGCAAGAGTGAGACCTCATCTCTACCAAAAATATAAAAACTAATAGGGCATTGTGGTTGAGCGCCTGTAATTCCAGCCACTCAGGAGGCTGAAGCAGGAGGATCACTTGAGCCCCAGAGTTTAAGCTTTCTATGAGTTATGATGATGCCACGCAACTCTAACCGGGGCACAGAAACTTGTCTAGATACATCCATCCATCCAGTCTCTCCTCATCTGTCATGGGTATCATGACCAAAATCATCTTCCAAAATACTGATAAAATCATGCCACTCCCTTAGCTCAAAAATTTTCTAAACTCCTTTCCTAAAAATCCAAGTCTAATTTTTTTTTGGAGACAGAGTCTTACTATATAGCTCTCAGTAGAGTGCTGTAGCGTCACAGCTCACAGCAACCTCCAACTCTTGGGCTTAAGCGATTCTCCTGCCTCAGCCTCCCAAGTAGCTGGGACTACAGGAGCCTGTCACAACGCCCGGCAGTTTTTTGGTTGCAGTTGTCATTGTTGTTTGGCGGGTCCGGGCTGGGGATTCGAACCCGCCACCTTAGGTGTACGTGGCT